CACATTTTCAACGTGGTTTTGGACGCAATATGTGAATAGCCTATAAAGATTAAACCTAAGAGATACATTACAAGCACTGATCTATAACAGATAAAGGATTACAAGCCATATGGAGCGATAACAAGTTACATCACACAATTAAATAATGTTACATATTTTGCAAACTACACAAAATGAGGCATCGATTTTACTTACACTTACATGTTATTGTAGCGTAGCTTATTGTATAAAAAATCAGGAAAATGACAGGAACAAACACAGCACATGGTTGGCTATACTGTGGTGTTGTTGTGAAAATGAACTGTTTATTCCCTGCAGCTAAGGCCCCGTTTACACTAGTGCGTTTTAGTTTGAAAACGCATAAGTTTTGCTACGGTTACGCCATCCGTCCACACTACGCCGGAGTTCTCGAGCGCCGAAAACGGAGCTTTTTGAAAACGCTGGAAAGGCCGTTTTCATTCTAAAACGCTGCTGCTCCGTCTCAGTGTGGATGGGGAAAGACGGAGACATCTGAAAACGGAGGCGGGGCTGCAAACGTTCGCCTATCTGATTGGGGCTTTTCCTCAATATTAAGTAGCCCACACACAGTTCAGTCTCGCATCCTCTTCTTGTAAGTTAAGACTTCGCAAGTTTGATCAAGGCTGCAGTCTCCCCCTTCTCAGTTTGATATGGAAAACATACCGAGGACACGCGTAAATCTTTAAAGGGAACAGTGTACTTTATAACTTCATTCACATCACCTTGGCTACTGTTGTAAAAAAAAATAAATGAGTGAAAAAGAAGAGAGAGAACCCAGTCCAGGAGACTCAGAACAAGCAGAATTCCTTTATTGAGACGTGTTGGTTAATCTGCAGTCATACAGCGTCTTCAAGGTGTCCAATGTGTCTGCAAGAGACTACTAGAGGTCCGCAGTCTGCAAGTTCTTTCACAAGTCTCTCACAAGTCTCACACAAGTCTGAATTAGTCTGAATTAAGATGTCCTGTCTATATTGTCCTGTTAGGAGGAGGGGACATGGCTAAACAGAGCATGCAAATTAAGAGTTGGAGTCAGCATGGCATAGGTGTTAAAAAACGGCCCAGCTACTGACCACACAAGTTAATCAACATAGGGTTTCTGTAGCATAAAAGCAACACCCGAAGACAAAGACAGAGTCGTTTAAAGCATTTGCATCACTGGCTTAACCTGTAGTCAGAGAGATAAAGGTTAAATGTCCCTCCTAGCTGGGATGTTAATGAAATTATATAGATAAAAAACAGAGAATATAACTTTTCAGTTATACGTAGATTATTGTTCATTTGGAATTAGTTGATAGAAATTTATATTTCCACACTACGTTGTTTCACTTTCTCAACAATAAAATGTAAACATGATTTAAGGAACTGCCTATTTTCTTTTTAATATTAGCTACTTAACAGACAGCAGAAATGTTGAGGCGTCGTGCTGCATTTATGAGCGTCATCTTCACTGTGTGGATATTTATAACAAAACGGAGCCGATAACGACTGCCTCCTTTCAATTTCAGTGAAAATACGAAACACACCCTCTCTTTTGCTGAATATCAGTTTTAATAATTGATAATTATAAAAGTATAACATACAATAAGTTTATACATTGTAGGAAATAAAGGTAAGCGATCAGTCAATGTACCTGGATTAATCATTAACTTATCTTTGCGCTTAACCAAAACATGTTACCCGTGAACAAGTAACTTAATAGATTCCAATGACCAAAGTCAGGGAATTGGCCTATGTCGTTAGATAAAGACAACAACATGAATGAAATATCACGTTTAGCAAATATAGTGAGATTAGATCCAGCGGGAGATGCTTGATGAGCAGTCCGACAAGCAGAGCTCTCATCTGGGTAGAAAAGCTGGTGCGCTTGCCCGAGAGTGTGTGTGTGGTCACGTGATGTGCGTTTTCAGCGTTTTGGTGTGGACGGAGAGCAGTTCAGAAACGCTGGGTAAAACGCGAGTGTGGACGCGGATCGTTTTCATTCTACAACGCCGTTTTAAAACTAAAACGCACAAGTGTAAACGGGGCCTAAATCTCCATCTATCAGTGATTGTCATCTTAGTGCCATGATCAGTCCCGTGCTCCCCCTCACTCCACTAATGTCTGAAGGGAAAGGTGCGTTCACGTTTTACCGGATCCGGCACTTCATATTTGGTGATGTACCGCATCGATGTCAATGCGCTCAGGCAAAAGATCCAAACCCAACTCGATTTATTTATTCGATTCTAAGTCGACTATTTTGTTAAAGAATCAATAGTTTGAAACATAGTGCACTTTCAGATTTAAACCTCAGCTGGATGTTTTCAGTGTTGTGTTACAGACTGCATAGAAGGTCATTTTCAAAAAACCAAAATAGGGGCTGTTTAAGATTTCTCACAAATTGAAGAGCATGCATCTAAAACCCTCATAACAATACATCCTAAACATCTGGACAGACTATATTGGTCTGTAAAATAAAAATACAATCAATATAGAATAAATTAATGATAACAACAGTTTTTTGTCACGTCTTTTTTAATATAATATTTTGTACTTTCTATAAATGAATATTTAAGAATATTTCATTTTCTCAGATATTTTTTAATATATTTCATATTATGATTTAGAAGTACTTTTTTATATTACATGCATTCATTCATTCATATATTTTCTTTTCGGCTTGGTCCCTTTGTTAATCTGGGGTCGGCATAGCGGAATGAACCACCAACTTATACAGCATAAGTTTTAAGCATTCGTACACACTCATTCACACACATACACCACAACCAATATAGTTTATTCAATTCCCCTACACCACATGCCTTTGGGCTGTGGGGAAACCAGAGCACCTTGAAGAAACCCACGCAAACATGGGGAGAACATACAAACTCCTCACAGAAAACTGACCCAGCTGAGGCTCTAATCAGCAACCTTCTTTCTGTGAGGCAATCATGCTTCCCACTGCGCTACCGTGACACCCTGTATTAGATGATATATTAGATGAAAGTTCAAAATGTGATTCACACTCAAAGATTTGAAATATTAAGTCTTTCAAAACGTTTAACAGCTAATAAGTTTGGTTCCAAGCTCAAAATAATTATTTAAGTTGACACAAATGTCAAATAAACTTCCAAAGGCAAAAGTGCCGGATAATTCAGTGGTGAACGATGTGTTCTATATTGACCTGTTAAATGCACTTCACATAACGTGCCATTGCAGATTATTTGATTCAGTATCATGGATTAAATTCGGGGAATTTAACTTTTCTAAATCCCAGCTGAGTGAATATATAACTGGTTTGTGCATTGGATTTTCAGCTGAAAATGATTGCAGGATTGTGTGTGCACTGTGCAGGATAAATTCTCATCATTTTCATTTCATTCTCATTCTTATCTGCTTTGTTCACAACGCTGAGGGGATGAAAAGGGTAAGAACTGGAGCAGTATAGAAGGCTGAAAAACACTAATGGGGATTAATTACACCTTCAGACTTTTAGACCTTTAGACTTTTATTCTCTCTGAGAATAGTTAGATAATATCATAGCACATAACCTACTACCAATAATTTCACACAAAAGGTGCCTTCTTTGCTGTTATTAAGCCTTTGAGACTGTCTCTTAAACGGTTGCAGAAGTTACATTTAGCAATCATGGTGTAGTGTGGCGTATTGTAAGATATATTTTCCAGACAGCGGTCCAGACAAAATATAATAATTTTCATAAGTGCACAAAAATGCATATTCAGCTAGATCAGTTCTATTCTGCAATAGTACATTCTCAGTCCCGTAGAGGCTTGAATCGCTCAGAGAGATTAGCTGACTTAAAGTCATTTACTCCTCAAATGTCCTGTGGTTATTTTATCATTCTAAATGGCATGCTCTGTTTATTTTGCTAGTTCATGCATGCAGAGTTTAGTGGAAATTGTCCAGAGAAGGGTTGTTAGGTTGTTGACAAAAGAAATGACTTTCGGTTTGTGCAGGGTTTATTTAAACCATGGTTTTATTCAAACTTTGCAGCACATTGCATTACACAGATACAAAGGTGTGCCTCCAGTGAGCTGATATCAGCTTTTATGTTTGTCAGGTTGCAAGCGAAGCATGTCTGTGCATCCTGTGCTTGTTTGCTAAACATCAGAAGAAAGTTTTTTTGGGCCATGTAGGCTCACACAGGCAAGAAATAACATTTTTGAGGCACAAAAAAATTCTGGATCAAAATTAAATTCCGGTGATTAATTTTGGTAGTAGGGCGAGGCAGTGGCGCAGTAGGTAGTACTGTCGCCTCACAGCAAGAAGGTCGCTGGTTCGAACCTCGGCTCAGTTGGCGTTTCTGTGTGGAGTTTGCATGTTCTCCCTGCCTTCGCGTGGGTTTCCTCCGGGTGCTTCGGTTTCCCCCACAGTCCAAAGACATGTGGTACAGGTGAATTGGGTAGGCTAAATTGATAAATGTAATAGTGTATGAGTGAGTGTGTGAATGTGTGTGTGGATGTTTCCCAGAGATGGGTTGCGGCTGGAAGGGCATCCGCTGCGTAAAAACTTGCTGGATAAGTTGGCGGTTCATTCCGCTGTGGTGACACCGGATTAATAAAGGGACTAAGCCGACAAGAAAATGAATGAATGAATGAATTTTGGTAGTGAGGGTGGCTCATTGGTTAGCACTGTCGCCTTACAGCAATAAGTTCACTGGTTCAAGTCCCGGCTGGGTCAGTTGGCTTTTCTGTGTGGAGTTTGCATGTTGTCCTCAGTTGGCGTGGGTTTCCACCAGGTGCTCCGGTTTCCCCCACAGTCCAAAGACTTGCGGTATAGGTGATTTGGATTAACTAAATTGGCCGTAATTTATGAGCGTGTTTCCTAGTACTGGGTAGTGGCTGGAAGGGCATCCATGAAAGTGCGTTACAAATAAAATACAATTTATTATTATTATTATTACTAATATTATTATGTAGCAAGATGTTGCATGTTTGTATTAAATTGTGCAGATTTGTCAATACTTTTTGTTGTTCTTTTTCTAGGACAAAAGGCTTGGACCTCGAGAAAGACGGATTAGGTGGCAGGAAGAGGCGTAACAGCAGTCAAGACCTCATTGAAGAACTAATTCAAGAAGTTGTGACTCAGAAGGAGCATGTGTGATGATCCCCTGCTCCCGCTCAGCCCGAAGCAAACCCAGCATGTCTGAGATGAGTGATCCTCTGTGCTGCCCGGCCGTCGTCCCTGCCTGCTCCTGGCAGCGCTTGGTGGCGTGAGCAGATTGCTCCATCCTGGCAGCCGCGGGAGCGTGGAATGGCCTCTTTGGACCTGCCATACCGTTGTCCTCGCTGTGGGGAACACAAGCGCTTTCGAAGCCTGTCCTCTCTACGCGCCCATCTGGAGTACAATCATACCTACGAGACCCTGTATGTGCTGTCCAAGTCCAACAGCGTATGCGATGCCGCAGCGCTGCTCCCCCTAGTGGCTGACGGAGCCCTCACTGCAGAATCTCGTTTTCCGTACCGCGAGCTGCCCTGCTCTGGTGAAGAGCTTGGCCTTGCACCCTCGTCAACTGCTTGCTACCTGCCCAATGTGGAGTTTCCCCTGGGGGAGATTCTGGTGAAGACAGCCATGAGCTCCAGCGACGCCTTGTCCTCTGCAGGGAACAATGCCGTGGCAGTGGCCGCTAATGTGGCCGCTAGTGCGGTGGAGGCAGCTTACGAGGAAGGGCTGGCTCGGTTGAAAGCCCGAGCTTTTGAAAGACTTGAGCTGGACGAGAGGCTGGAGAAGCTGTCAGAAGAGGTGGAGCAAAAGATTTCAGCAAGAGTCAGTCGTCTGCAGGCCGAGTTGGAGAGGAAAAGCTCAGAGCTGGAAAAGGCAAAGTTGGAGAGCGAGAGGCTCAGTCAGGAGAAGCAAGACCTGGAGGACAAAGCCACAGAGCTTTCACGGCAAGTGGACGTGTCCGTGGAGATGCTGGCCAGCCTTAAGCAGGATCTGGTTAACAAAGAGCAGGAGCTTTCACACAAACAACAGTGAGTTCTTTTTTTCATGATAAACCTCCTACACCTAAATGCTTCACATTTTATCACCGCAATAGTATTGTGTGCATGCTGACCGAATTTTGTAACTATGCATACTTTGTACCATCCAGTTACAAAATGTAACTTAACCATGCAATCATTCATTTTCCTTCGGTTTAGTCCCTTAATTTATAAGGGGTTGCGACAGCGGAATGAATCGCCAACTTATCCCGCACATGTTTCACAAAGCGGATGCCTTTTAAGCTGCAACTCAGTACTGGGAAACATCAATACACACTTATTCGCACTCATACACTACGGCCAATTTAGTTTATTCAATTCACCCATAGCACATGTCTTTGGACTGTGGGGGAAACCGGAGCACCTAGAGGAAACCCACATCAACACGGGGAGAAAATGCAAACTCCACACAGAAATGTCAACTGGTCCAACCGGGACTCAAACCAGTAACCTTCTTGCTGTGAGGCACCAGTGCTAACCACTGAGCTTTGACCTTGCACTTTTTAAAAAGATTTTTGAAATCATTGTGACAGAACAGTAGCTAGACAGGAAATGAACTTGGACAGAGATTGGGCGATGGGATTGGGAAAGGTCCATGAGTCCACCAAAAACTCAGGATACCTGAAGTGCTGTGGTGCTATATGCCACTCTGCCAACTAGGCTATCAGCGCAGATACACATAATCTTTTTATTGTATTTAGTTGTTTTTTCCACTAGTTGGTTTGCCCACAATGTGGGTTGGGCTGTGGTTTCTATCAAAAAAACATGAAGAAACTGAGCAACAACAGCAACAAACTACTAAAAACAGCAAAAACAATAAACGCTTGCCTTAATGAGTGATCAGTGAGATTAACAGGTACCCAAAGCTTTAGTTTAAGCAAGCATTTTATTTCTCATTTCTGTGGAGTAGCATGAAATCTTTCTAATGTGCATGTCTTGAGCACCTGTGTTTGTAAATGTGGAGCGTACTTTGAAACAATGTGAGCAACTGTTCAAAAAACCCCAACAAATATTTTGATTTTACTCTTATACTATATTTACAGTTACATTTATTCACTTGGCAAATTAAGTATAAGGTCTATTACAAATTAAGACAATTAGGCAACAAAAAAACAACAATTTGTAAGTGCTATGATAAGTCTTAGTTATTCATAAGCAGTACAAGAGCAAGAATTTTATTTTAGATTCATTAAAACAGAATATAAATAAAATAGACTGGTAGTGCTGACAGAAAAGGTTGTGTGTTTAATACAAATTTCACACTCACATGCCATTTTTTCTTTCTATGTATACACGCTTGTATTATTATTATTATTTTTTTACAGAATTGTAAAATATTTCAGCAGATGGAACCGAACAAAAAAATAAACTACTGAAGATGTCAAAACTATGAATAACCACTGTGATACAAGGTTTTATAAGGATCAATCATAACATTTAGTGAGAGAAGACAGACATTAGACAAATAGGATTCCTTCTAGTATGCATGTGTCAGTCACCTGTGTTCTTTGCTTTTATATTTGACTATGCATATGTCTAATGCACAGGTAAAATCCAAGTATACTTTGGACTTTTATCCTGGTATACGTAGAAAATGTTAGCTTAAAGGGATAGTTCACCTAAAATGCACATCTTGTCATCATTTACTCATCCTTGTATCAAACATTTATGATATTCTTTTGTTTGTTAAACCCAAAAGATTTTGAAGAAAGCTGAAAACCAATGCTTTCAGGTTTTTAGCTTTCTTCAAAATATCTTCTTTAGTGTTTAACTGAAAAAAAGGAGATTTTAAATAACACGAGGCAGAGTAAATAGTAAGTTTCATTTTTGTGCTGAACTGTCCTTTTAACTGCTTGAACCTCAGGGTTTTTGCTTGAATGCTTGATTCACTCTAGTTTATTTTCAAAAGACCTTACTCTGTGCAGCAAACAGTGTTTTCACAAAAGAAGACATGCTAGATTCGCTTTTGATTTCGCCTAAGTTTAGATTCATTTGGACTAGGCAGTTGAGCAAGACAGTAGAGAGACGCCACAGTTGCTGAGTTGTTAACTATGTCTGCAGTCGGATTTAATCTGCTCTCTTTGGCAGGCTTTTTATTTTTCTAGTTGTTTCACTTTAGTGTACTTCATTGGTGTGACAAATATTTAAACATTTTTACGGCTGAGCTAGACAGAAATATAACAGCGGAGACATGTAGTATAATACATCATAAACTACCATTGAATAGTTTGGGATTTTGTCAAATTGATTTTAGGTTTTTAAAAAATGGTCAAAAATCAACTTAATTTGTCACTCAAGAAACATTCATTAATAATAGTAATATTATTATTATTGAAAACTATTATAATATAACATATTGGTTATGAATAGAAACTCATTAATAAATTGATATTTATTCCTATTATTTACTATATCCTTTATTTTACCAGGAAAAGCACATTGAGATTAAAAATCTCTTTTATTAGAGCATCCTACCCAAGATTTGGCATTATACAGTTCACATGGGTTTAACAAACAAACAAAAAAACTAATAGCAGGTAACATCATTCATCTATCAATACACACATACAATAACAGTTAAAAACTGTTCAGAACATATAAAGATCATTTATAGAAAAAAAGGCTTATTTTTTAGGTCAGTTTAATCAATCCTTTAAAAAGATATTTTTTACTATTGTTTTGTGAGGTACTGTACAAAAAAAGCAAGGAGTTTAGTAGTACAATGTAATGTCATTAAAAAAAAATAAATTGAAGTTACAAGTTTAACAGACATTTCTCAGTGCTGGGTTGCAGCTGGAAGGACATCCACTGCATAAAACATATGGCACTGTAACGGTTTATTCTGCTGTGGCAACCCCTGATACAGTAAATCAGGGACTAAGCTGAAGGATAGTGAGTGCGTGTGAGTTTAACAGATACAAAACAATTACATAATTAAGAAATGTCAAATACATCTGATTTTATCCCCAATCCATAGATATCTTGGCTCACAACACAAAGGTATTATTTCAAAATTGCTCAGACATTCAAAGTTTTATATTTTACTATTGTAATTAATATTACCTACCCTACTACACTACCTGACAAAAGTCTTGTCTCATATCCAAGTTTTAGGAACAACAAATAATAACTTGACTTCTAGTTGATCATTTGGTATCAGAATAGCTTTTATGAAAGGCAAAGGGGAAAAAATGATATTGTGTATGACTCCCTTGAGCTTGGAGAACTGCATTCATACATCTCAGCAATGATTCAAATAACTCATTAATAAAGTCATCTGGAATGGCAAAGAAAGTTCTCCTGCAGGACTCCAATATTTCATCAAGATTCTTTGCATTCATCTTTAAAGCCACCTCCTCCATCTTACCCCAGACATGCTCAATAATGTTCATGTCTGGTGAATGGGCTGGCCAGTTTTGGAACACCTTGAACTTCTTTGCTTTCAGGAACTTTGATGTGGAGGCTGAAGTATGAGAAGGAGTGCTATCCTGCTGAAAAAATTGCCCTCTCCTGTGGTTTGTAATGAAATGGGCATCACAAATGTCTTGACACCTCAGGCTGTTGATGTTGCCATCCACTCGGCAGATCTCTTGCAGGCCCCCATACTGAATGTAACCCCAAACCATTATTTTTCCTTCACCAAACTTGACAGATTTCTGTGAGAATCTCGGGTTCAATAGGTCTTCTGCAGTATTTGTGAAGATTGGGAAGCAGTTCAACAGAGGATTTATCCGAAAAATCTACCTCCTGCTACTTTTCTAAATGATCAACTAGAAGTCAAGTTATTATTTGTTGCTCTTACAACTGGGATTGACGACAAGACTTTTTTCAAGTAGTGTATTTTTCAAGTCTATAGTTGTTTGTAGATTTTTGTAGTAGGACATGTTTTTTTTTCCTTCAGCTTGTATTTCCCCAGAATTTGCATAGTTTATAGGTGCCCTGGGCATCTCTTCTTAAACATGAACTTACAGCAGGCTGAACATAGGGACTGTTAAAAGGGATAATACGCATAAATAAATCATGCACTCACCCTGGTATGTTCTTTCAAACTTACTGTCATTAGTGGAACACACAAAAATTTTTATTTTTGGCAAACATCTTTTTTCATTTGAAGTCAATTCATGTAAATATTTTTCATTAAATGCATATTCAAAAATATCCTCTTTAATGTTGTGCAGAAGAGATCAGTCAAACAGGTTTGTAATAAAAACAACTTTTGCGAGTTTTAATTCCATGGTAAACTATTCCTGTAACGCTGTGTTCTGAAGGCTTGTGTTCCTGTGGTCTGCAGATGTTTTTATTGTGTCTCTCTTAGAGCTGATGCAAACTCAACTGCACCCTACGGGCCATTGCCTCTAATTGCAGATCTTTCACCGTAGTCACTTCTGCTTTTATAATGTCACTGACACATCCCATCTCTAGTCATCTGAGGCAACTCAAGCTGAAACTTGCATCGCATAAAAGCATATTCATGTTATCATGGTTAGATTTTACTGTCATAATAGAGTGTTCACATTGAGAGAAATTGGAGTCGTTTAGATATCTTAGTTTATTTAGTGTCATTTTAGTATCAAGTAACTGTAGTTTGAATTTGCTTCATTTTTAATTTTAGTCACAGCTTTAGTGATGTTCTATGTATCTACAACATTTATAATATCTAATATCGATACTTTTCTGTGTATCGTATCAAAGTTAGAAAGCCTTTTCAAACTCAATACCAGAGAAAAACGAAACAAAACGGATTATAAACACAATAACTATTTTGAATGGAGGTTTTCAGAGTGACTTTGTTTACATGGACATCAATAATCAAATTATGTCCCTTAATCTATATTGACAATAAAATGATTAAGGTGTTTACATGAGCTGCTTTTTGAATGTTCTCTTCAAGTTTCTGTTATACATGTTATAGTACATACAGTAGTTTGATTGTCATTACGTCAACATGCAACAACAGTTCATGCTCGTCATGGCACCATATGTGATTTTGG